TGTTCAATTTACCAACATACAGAATAACACCCAGTGCTCATCCCGTCAAGTGTACCCCTCAGTGCCCGTCACCCATTCACCCCCACCCCCCACCCTCCTCCCCCTCCACCACCCCTAGTTTATTTCCCAGAGTTAGAAGTCTTTATGTTCTGTCTCCCTTTCTGATATTTCTCACACATTTCTTCTCCCTTCCCTTATATTCCCTTTCACTATTATTCATATTCCCCAAATGAATGAGAACATACACTGTTTGTCCTTCTCCGGTTACTGTGGCCAAGTTCAAAAAGGGTGTTGCCTGAGTTCTTCTCTGGGATTTTGATGGAATCTTGTCTCACATTTAGATCTTTCATCTATTTTGAGTTTATCTTTGTGTATGGTGCAAGAGAGTGGTCCAGTTTCATTCTTCTGCATGTAGATGTCCAATTTTCCCAGCACCATTTATTGAAGAGACTGTCTTTCTTCCAGTGGATCGTCTTTCCTCCTTTATCGTATATTAGTTGACCATAAAGTTCAGGGTCCACTTCTGGGTTCTCTGTTCTGTTCCATTGATCTATATGTCTGTTTTTGTGCCAGTACCACACTGTCTTGATGACCACAGCTTTGTAGTACAACCTGAGATCTGGCATTGTGATGCCCCCAGATATGGTTTTCTTTTTTTAAAATTCCCCTGGCTGTTTGGGGTCTTTTCTGATTCCACACAAATCTTAAAATAATTTGTTCTAAGTCTCTGAAGAAAGTCCATGGTATTTTGATAGGGATTGCATTATACGTGTAAATTGCCCTGGGTAACATTGACATTTTCACAATACTAATTCTGCCAATCCATGAGCATGGAATATTTTTCCATCTCTTTGTGTCTTCCTCAATTTCTTTCAGAAGTGTTCTGTAGTTTTTAGGGTATATTTTGAGAACCATTTGAATGGTAAATGGTTCTCCAACCTTTTATTTTCAGGTTGTAAGTGTCCTTCTGTCTAAAATGAGTCTCTTGTAGACAGCAAATAGATGGGTCCTGTTTTTTTATCCAGTCTGAAACTCTGCACCTTTTGATGGGGTCATTAAGCCCATTCAGGTTCAGAGTTACTTGAACTTCTTCTTAAAGGGGAGTTTTAAGAGTCCCCCTTAAAATTTCTTGCAGAGCTGGTTTGGAGGTCACATATTCTTTCAGTTCCTGCCTGTCTTGGAAGCTCTTTATCTCTCCTTCCATTTTGAATGAGAGCCTTGCTGGATAAAGTATTCTTGGTTGCATGTTCTTCTCATTTAGGACCCTGAATATATCCTGCCAGCCCTTTCTGGCCTGCCACGTCTCTGTGGAGAGGTCTGCTGTTACCCTAATATTCCTCCCCATGAAAGTCAGGGACTTCTTGTCTCTTGCTGCTTTAAGGATCTTCTCTTTATCTTTGGAATTTGCAAGCTTCACTATTAAATGTCGAGGTGTTGAACGGTTTTTATTGGTTTTAGGGGGGGATCTCTCTATTTCCTGGATCTGAATGTCTGTTTCCCTTCCCAGATTGGGAAAGTTTTCAGCTAGGATTTGTTCAAATACATATTCTGGCCCTCTGTCCCTTTCGGCGCCCTCGGGAACCCCAATTAAACGTAGGTTTTTCTTCCTTAGAGTGTCATTTATTTGCCTTAATCTGTCTTCATGGTTCTTTAATTGTTTATCTCTTTTTTCCTCAGTTTCCCTCTTTGCCATTAACTTGTCTTCTATGTCACTCACTCGTTCTTCCACCTCGTTAACCCTCCCTCGTCGTTAGGACTTCTAGTTTGGATTGCATCTCATTCAATTGATTTTTAATTTCTGCCTGATTGGATCTAAATTCTGCAGTCATGAAGTCTCGTGAGGCCTTAATGCTTTTTTCTAGAGCCACCAGTAGCTGTAGAATAGTGCTTCTGAATTGGCTTTCTGACATTGAAGTGTAATCCAGATTTTGTACCTCTGTGGGAGAGAGGGCTGTTTCTGATTCTTTCTTTTGAGGTGAGGTTTTCCTTCTAGTCATTTTGCTCAGTGCAGAGTGGCCAAAAACAAGTTGTATTGGAACACGGGGGAGTATCACTGGTCCGTCCAGCTGGTCTTCTGGGGGAGGGGCCTGCTGTGCTGATTCTCAGGTGTTAGCACTGGGGGGAGCTGCTCTGCCCCTGCCTGCTGCAGGGCTCAGCGGGGGTTGTTTACCCCGTGGGACCCAGGGAGGATCAGCCGCAGTTGCTATGGCAACTCTGGAAGCCTGGATTCAGCCTCCGCAGGAACTACGGGGCTCGGGGCTCTCGGCTCTCCGTCCGCTGGGCCTGGAGGCTCCGGGGCGGGGCCACTGATCTGCTCAGCTCCGGGCAGGAGCGTCCTTGCTGTCCTGGGCCCTCCCGGCCTCTGCCAGTCCCGGGGGAGGCCGGATCCTGGGCTGTGTCCCGGCGCCCTGTGCTCCGGGGCCTGCGCTGGTGGATTCGCGCTCCCGCCCTGCAGCTCCCTCCCTGGAGCCGCTCCCGAGCCCCTCCGAGCTGCTCCGGTCGGTCCCTCCGTGCGCGCTGCAGCCCTTAGGGAGCTCGGAGCACTCCCCTGCGCTCGCAGGTGTCTGTGAGTGTCCCCGGGAGCCCAAGGGCATCCCCGCCCTCCTGGGTCCTGCTCCCAACTCCCTGCGAGCCCCTTTCCGCCCGTCAGGGAAGGTTGGTGCAGCTCCTGCTCCTCCGGGACGGGGCTCTCCTGTCCTGGGGACACGCGCCCCGGCCTCAGCCCGGCTCCTCGCGGGGCCCCTCCCCCTCGGAGGCCTTTTGTTTCTTTATTTCTTTTTCCCCGTTTCCTACCTTGATAGAAACGCGGACTCTTCTCCCTGTAGCATTCCAGCTGGTCTCTCTTTACATCTCAGGCCGAATTCGTAAATTTTCAGGATGGTTTGAAGGTTATCTAGGTAATTTGGTGGGGACAGGTGATTTGGGGACCCTGCTCTTCCGCCATCTTGCCCCTTTCTTTTTTTTAATTTTTAAAAAAGATTTATTTGAGAGAGAGAGAGAGAGAGAATGAGTGAGGGAAGGACAAAGGGACAAGCTATCTACTGAGCATGGAGCCCAATGTGGGGCTTGATTCCAGGACCTTGAGGTCATGACCTGAGCAGAACTCAGATGCTTACCCAACTGAGCCATCCTGGTGGCCCAGAAAGATGTCTATTTCTGAAAACAACTTAAGGTACATCTCTAGTTACCTGTGCACCCTCACAGCAGTTCCCACATTAATTTCTCTACTCCAAGGCAGAGTGGGATAAATAGCTATTACCTGAATTTCAGGAAATAAAAAACTAAGAAGGATTAAGAGGCACAGGTGAAAAACAGATGCTAAGTTTTGTTTTCAAACCTAAAGTCTGAGTTATCATAGTATAGTACAAAAAACCCCAAACTGGGAGTTAGAAGACATGAGTGTTAATCTTGATTCCACCACTTGGTTATCTGTGTAATTTTGAACAAGTCATCTTTACCTACAATTATCCTTTTCCTCATCTTTACAATAAGGTTGAAAATACATTTTTAAAATATTTTACCTTATTTCCCAAGCTTACAGTGAGGGTCAAATGACATAACATCTATGAAACTACAAAGCCCTGTGCAAATATAAAATATGTGCATATATATGTGTGTGTGTTCTCGGCTACTTTCCAATATTAATTGAGTTTGATTAATATTTGATGGTCTAATTCAATAAGCTACTCAAAAACTATTTTAAGACATTCTAGAGTCAGGGATGCCTGAGTGGCAGAGTGGTTGAGTCTCTGCCTTTGGCTCAGATCATGATCCCGGGGTTCTCCAACAGAGTCATATAGCCAGTTCCCTACAGGGAGCCTGCTTTTCCCTTTGCCTGTATCTCTGCCTCTCTGTGTGTCTCTCATGCATAAATAGATAAAATCCTTAAAAAAAAAAAAAAAAGGACATTCTGGAGTCAAAGCTGAATAAGTCATAGTCTCTAACTTTTAGGAATTCATAGTTAAGAGAGGACACAAATATTAAAAATAAAGAATTATACAAAAAAGGGACAAAAAAAATAATAGATGCATATACTAAATTCTTTGAGTCCAACAAAAAGGTAAACTAATCCTACATGAGGCCAAAGGACAGATGTCAGAGAAGAGATAACAAGTAGGCTTAAAGGGAGCGGTTGAGTTGCTAGAATTTTATCCAGATACATGGAATTCACAATAGAACACAAAAATACCACAAGATCTGTGTTATAACTGGCTCTGCCCTTAGTTAAAACTAGTACTTGACCTCTTTGGACCTCTCTTACTGCAATTCTAAAATGAAAGGTTTAGATAAAATACAATCCTAAGTCCTTCCAGCTCTAAAATTATATGATTCTATGAGTCAAACTCTGGTCATTGTACAGATGCCAAGAAAGAGAACTCAAGAGAGTAATAAAATAGTCACAACTATTAAAAATGTTTTTCCATTAACCACTTTTTCTTGGAATTTAAAAGCCTAAGAATGATATTTATCTCTACCTAGAATAAGCTCTAACACAGCAAGGAGAGGAAATTGGAATGGTATCAAGAAACTGAGAACCAAACAGTACAGGTGGAGAGCAGGAGGTTAAACCTTCAGTTCAACAAAGATGTTGCTTAGACCACTAAGGAAATAGGCAATACATGAGAAGTTATAATGTTTTTATTCCTATTTACTAAAAAAAACTTAGAATAAAATCATAACCAGATATTAAAATGTACTCTTCCATAAAATGAGGTAGTTGTTGTTTGAAGTTTTGTCTTGTTAAACTACTTCTTAAAAAACTATTTACATAAGAGGTCACTTTTAAAATTATAAAGAAAAGGATCAAAAACCTAAGTATACTCAACTGAATTTGTTTCACAAATGGTACCTAAGGTGGATATTGTCAAGTAATGTACTTCATCAAACATTTATTAAACTATGTTTAAAAGTTCTAGTTGTTGTAAAGCATAATCCCAGTACTCAGGAGGTTCACTGACCTAATATCAAGACTTTAAGGAAGAAAAAATAGTAACTCTTACCCATCAATCATATTTTCAGGTGGGTGTTTTTCATCACTTGATGTAGCTAAAATCACTTCAGCCCCCTCAGAGCTCAAACACAGATCATTTTTTCTCATCTTCAAGTGTTTAATCTGCAAGTAAAACAATAATAACAAAAGCAAATTCTTGACTCTCTGAACTTCATCGGAGTAAAGGGAGAAAGAAAGCCTGTTGCCTAGCACACAGCTTAACCACCAAGCTATTCAACAAGTGGGAGGGACTCTAACATGTTTATTTATGAAAGTAAACTTCTAACCTCTCCCAGGAATAATCTGTAAAATAGCGATTATTTCCACCACTTTACTTCACAAAAGACAACACTGACTACTCTGACAACATTTTTCTGATTCTAAAATTGAAAGTCCTCAATAACGATACAGAAATAGTTAACAGGCTAAGGTAACATGAATTAATGTGTAAAATTTTCAAACTATTTATATCATTATATTTCTGACATTAAAAAATAATCTGGAGCAAAAGAATAGATGTTTTCATGACTGTTGTGTTTTTTGTTTTTTGTTTTTCTTTTTTCTTTTTTTTAAGTAAGCTCCACACCCAGCACAGAGCCCAGCACAGGGCTAGAACCCACAACTGTGGGTTCAAGAGTCAGACTTTCAACCAACTGAGACACCCAGGCACCCCACATGACTGTTTATCCATACATTTATCAACTGAAGTAGCAAATAATACTAGTTACATGTTAAAAGATATCTTACCATCATTACTTTTTGGAGCAGAATGTAAAATAAGAGAGAAGAAAAACTTTTGCTTATTATTAAATTCTAAATCAGTCACTTGGGTCATGGATTGAAAGACATTTCTATCGTATGGTAATATTTTCGGTTTAATAAAAATATATGTAAAAACATTGTTGAACTCTAACATGGACCCCGGTAGATTAGACAAAGAAGACTAGATAAGATTCTATCAGTCACACTCACCCTTCTCCTTGATCTGGTGGTAACAGGGCACAAACCAATATATAGATGCAAAGGGACTATGAAAGCTGTATCTATAAAGAATGATAAGACAAAGAGTGTTTGGAAAAAGGAGGAAGGCTTCCAATACACTTCATACCCTGGCCTCTGGCTAACTTTAAAAAAAAAATGAGACTATTTCAAATAAATAATCAACATAGTACAGAGAATGTCACATATTAAACAACTATATACCCACTGCCTAGATTTAATAAATGTTAACATTTTTACCCATCACCTTTCTGGCTCAAAGATAAGAGCTATTCTGGAGTTGATGAATATCCCTCCTTACTATGTATTTATACTTTTATCATATACATATCCATAAACAATATGTACTGCCCTTTTAAAACTTAGACGCTTCCTCAGTATATATATCCTTGCTTTTTTAATTTAATATAATAATTTTCAAGTTTTATCATGTTGATACATGTAAATCTACTTTGTTCATCTTAACTGCTGTCAGGTATTTCTCCATTTCTCTAATGATGAATATTTAGGTAAGTTTCCAATTTTTTGCTATTACAAGCAAATTTGAAATGTACATCTTTGTGTATAGAGAAATGTGCATCTTAGTATTTAGAGGAGAAAGTGTTTATGATAAAAGTCTCTGTCTTTACAGAAGTAAAATTGCAGAAACTTAGAATCAGCATATCTTCAAGTCAATAATTGATCAATTTGATCTTGAAATTTTAACAATTTACACTACCATCAGCAGTGTATAAGTGTTTCTGCTTCCTTTTATTCTCACCAACTTGGTATTATTAGATATTTTGACTTTAGCTCATCTCATTGATGTGAAATGGTATCTAAATAGGGTTATAATTTGTATTTCCATGATTATTAGTGAAACTGAATACTGTTTCATATGATTATGGGCCATTCAGTCCTCTTTTTCTGTTATTTGTTTTTCCTCATCCTTTGCTCATTTTGCTATTGGGGTGCTTTTTAAAAACTTTGTTGTTGGGAACCCTGGGTGGCGCAGCAGTTTAGCACCTGCCTTTGGCCCAGGGCGCGATCCTGGAGACCCGGGATCGAATCCCACATCGGGCTCCCGGTGCATGGAGCCTGCTTCTCCCTCTGCCTGTGTCTCTGCCTCTCTCTCTCTCTGTGTGACTATCATAAATAAATAAAAAAATTAAAAAAAAAAACTTTGTTGTCCTTTTCCTTTTGATTTATAGGAATTTTTCAAATAAAACATTCTGGATACAAATCCTTTGTTATATGTGTCACAGATATCTCCTAGTCTGTAGCTTGAGTTTCCTTTTTCTTTTTTTTTTTTTTTTGTTTCCCCACCCTCACACACTTTTTAAAATTACTGAACTATAAAACATACATAAAGAAGAGAACACAAATCAGAAGTATATAGAGCAATACAGTTTCACAAAGTTACCACACCCAGGTAACTATTCCCAGGGTAAAGAAATGGAATATTACCAGCACTTGAGAAGTCCTCCGCATGCCCCTTCCCAGTCACTTCCGTTCCCTCCTTCCCAAGATAAGCATGGTCCTTATTTCTAACAGATTAATTTTGCCTGAAATTTATATACATAGAATCATGCAGTTTGCATTCTTTTGTATCTGGCTTCTTTCACTCATCATTATGTTTTTGAGATTTAGCCTTATTGCTGTGTCATAAAGTGCAACTAAGTAAAGCTGCAACCTTGCCCCAACCCAGCTCAACCCCTAATAAGATCAGAGAAACCATGCCCTAAGTGGAGCTTCATAGGAAACGGGTGTATGAACTGAAAAGCAAAGAAAGATTTCTGTGATCTTGGGTACTTAGCTCCCAAAGCCCTGATGGAGGAAACTGATCTCACTTCCAAATATCTGAAATCAAATGTAAACTGAAAGTATTTAAATAAAATTATAACTCCGTTTAATCCCTAGGTAGACTAAAGTGATCTGCCCCTTATCCTGGCTGCAGGGCAAAGAAACTGGTGTGTCCTCTCTGGGAAAAAGCATTATTTACTTCAGTGTCTATTTTACATCCAATATACAAAATCACTTTAGCAGATCTATAGATGATCCAAGTACTGGAATTAGCAAAGATAGCTACTTTAAATCTGTAGGGATTTATTGATCATATTATCAACCTGTAGAAAATATAGGCTTGTAGGGAGCTTGCTTCTCCCTCTGCCTATGTCTCTGACTCTGTCTCTCATGAATAAATAAATAAAATATCTTAAAAAAAAAAAAAGAAATGGCGGAAGATAGTTTTATTTTTTTTATTTTTTTATTTTTTTTCAGAAGATAGTTTTTTTTTAATTAATTAATTAATTAATTTATTTATTTATGATAGTCACACAGGGAGAGAGAGAGAGAGAGAGAGGCAGAGACACAGGCAGAGGGAGAAGCAGGCTCCATGCACTGGGAGCCTGACGTGGGATTCGATCCCGGGTTTCCAGGATCGCACCCTGGGCCAAAGGCAGGCGCCAAACCGCTGCGCCACCCAGGGACCCCCTCGGAAGATAGTTTTAAACACAAGTGCACTGATTATTCTATTAAATGTTAACAAACTAAACACTACATTATCAGACTGAATTTAAATAAACCCAACAGATACTCTTTTCAGGAAACACTGTAAATATAAGGATAGACTGAAAGTAAAAGGATAAAATAAGTCTTACTTAACATTTGATAAAGCAAATTCCTCTACTTAATTTTCATAATTTTATGTTTTGTATCTTAATTATTAGAAAGATTTTTAAATTACAAAAAAATGGGGCACCTGGGTGGCTCAGTCGGTTAAGCATCTGCCTTCAGCTCAGGTCATGATTTCAGGCTCCCTGCTCAGTGGAGAGTCTGCTTCTCCCCCTTTCTCTGCCCATCTCCTTACTCATGTTCTATCTCTCTCAAATAAAATCTTTGGGGAAAAAAATGAACTAGAGGAAAAAAATTTCTTGAGATGTTGATTGTAATTTTGTTCCATATACAGATTAATTGGGAGAGAATATCGTGTTTATGATAATGAGTCTTCAAATACATGAACCTGGCATATCTCTTCATTTAAGACTTTTTTAAAAGATTTTATTTATTTATTCATGAAAAAGAGGGAGGAAGGCAGAGATAGAACCTGAGCCAAAGGCAGATACTTAACCAACTAAGCCACCCAGGCAACCTTATTTAAGACTTCTTTTAAGCTTTGAAATGATTCTCTAGTTTTCCCCAAACATATCTTCACCTCTTTTGTTAGAGTTATTATTAGATGTCTTATGGTTTCTATTGCTATTATAAATGGGACATTTTAAAAAATAACATTATTTTTAAAAAGTCTTATTCTTTACCATACAAGGAATATTTCCAACATTTCACCATTAAATTTGATGCTCACTGAAGGTTTTGGGTTTTTTTTTTAAATATTTTATTTATTTATTCATGAGAGACAGAGAGAGAGAAGCAGAGACAGGCAGAGGGAGAAGCAGGCTTCATGCAGGGAGCCTGACGTGGGACTCGATCCCGGGTCTCCAGGATCACACCCTGGGCTGCAGGCGGCACTAAACCGCTGCGCCACCAGGGCTACCCTGAACGTTTTGTTAGACACTGTTCATCAGGTTATAGAAATTTCCTTCTCTCTTGGTGTGTTAGGTTTCATTTTTCCATGAACAAACACTAAATTTTATCAAATGCTCTTCTAACATTTACTAAAATGATCATTTAGATTTTTCTACAGGTTGATAATATGATCAATTAAATCAAGATTTTCTATTGTTATCATATCCCCAGTTCCTAGCATAAACTCAATTTACATGGCTAAGATATATTATCATTTTCATCCATAGTTGGGTTCAGTTTGCTAACATTTTATTTAGAATTTTTACAAATACATTTCTAAGTGAGATTGGTTATAATTTTCCTTGTTATTCATTCCTTATCTCTTTTTTTTAAGGTTTTATTTATTTACTTACTTGAGAGAGAAAGGGCATGGCATAGGGGAGGGGCAGCACAGGGAAAGAGACAAGCAAGAGACAAGCAGACTCTAAGCTGAGCTCAAACAGACTCTAAGTTGAGCTCAAAGTGCTGAGGTGGTGGCAGAGAGGGGACAGAGGCTTGATATCTCAACCCTGAAATCATGACCTGAGCAGAAATCAAGAGTTGGATGCACAATGGACTGAGCCACCAAGGCATTCCTGTATCTAGTTTTATAATCAAGACTGTACTTCCAACATAAGTTAGAGAGCTTCCCCCTTTTCTAGTTGTTGGAGCAATTTGTATAAGACAGAAGGTTATTTTATCTTGTAAGCCTGGTAAAATCTTTGTAAACAGAATTTTTTTTTAATATTTCAGATTTTTTTCAGGTTTTCCATACCACCTTGAGTCAATTTTGAAATTTATATTTTGTAGAAATATTACCTTTCTTAGTTTTTATATTTATTGGCATAAGGTTCATTTTTTACTGGAATTTTAAAATCTACTATGATAGTGTTAAAAGTCATGACTGGTCAAGAAAAAAGGCATATGTTCTAACATTTTCTATTTGTGCCTCTTAACTTTTTTCTTGCATTTAATACTATTGATACCAGAGAACTAGTGTTAGATGAACATTGTTAGTCCTTAATTTGAAAATGGTAAATTCCTAGAAATACAGATTGATGAACTCAGATATTAATTCTCAACAAAATTCTAACATTATTAAATTTCATTATTAAAATGATAGCCCTGAAAACGTAAATGAGAGTAGTTGTACAATAGAAAGCAGCACTAACATTAGTTCACAAAGGTTATACCAAACCTATACATTTCTTTTTGCTTACTTGATAGAGTTACTAACCAATTAAGAACATGTTCTGAATATTTCAACAAAACTTTAGACAAAGCTTCTCAAGATTCCTATATGGACCAGACAGAGAAATGTGGATCGGGTGGCAGGCAGTACTTTAGGTAAATATTTATCTCTTTGGCTATGCTCAAAGAATGATGATTAATGGGACAAAATTAACTGTGAAAAACCTCTGTCCTCTCGCCATTCAACATTTGTATGAATTAAAGATAGAAAAAGTATCATCAATTTTGCAGATGACACAAAGCTGGCTATCAGCTAACATGCTAGATGACAGAATTAGCACATAAAAAGATGTGAGCAAGCTAGAAAGATGAGATATGATGAACAATATATTTAATAGGGATAACAATAAAGCCCTGTATTTAAAAAGTCAATCACACAAGGATTGGTCTTGACTGGGGTGGCAGAGCCAAATCTAGTCAGCCATTTGTTTTTATATGGCCTATGAGTTAAAGGATGCTTTTTATCTTAAAATACTATTTAAAATTAAAATAATACTTTATGACACATGAAGATTACATGAAACTATATGAAATCCATACTTCAGTATCCATGAGTAGTTTTATTGTAACTTGGCCATGGTCAACCATTTATACATTGTTGATAGCTACTTTTACAGTGACACAGTAGTTGTGATAGAGACTATAAGGCTCAGAAAGTCTAAAATATTTATTATTTGGCCCTTTACAGAAAAAGTTTGCTGACCCTTGATCTAGATGTGTAAAACATATACGTTTGGTTCATTATAGAGTCACACTGTAAGGCAAGAGTGTACCATATCTGCCCCCAAAGGTAAAGGAATATAATCTTAGATTATATAAACTCTTTAGAGTTAAGGAGGAACTACATCCATCAAAATTTTTATTTATTTTTTTTTAATTTTTAAATTTATTTATTTATTTATTTATTTATTTATTTATTTATTTATTTATTCATGAGAGACACACACACACAGAGAGAGAGAGAGAGAGAGAGGCAGAGACAGAGACAGAGGGAGAAGCAGGCTCCATGCAGGGAGCCCGACGCGGGATTCAATTCTGGGTCTCCAGGATCTTGCCCCGGGTTGAAGGCGGCACTAAACCGCTGAGCCACCTGGGCTGCCCTCCATCAAAATTTTCAGATACCAACTAAGGACCAGGCACTGCACTTGCTAGTAACGCAAAGACAACTACAACCTAAGATAGAGATGGTGACTAACATTTAGTTTTTGCCTTCAAGCTCAGAGTCAAGGAAAATGAACATGCATGCAACTAATATTATAATGTTATGTGCTAACAGTGTGAACTACATCCAGATACTACATCATTCTGGGTTGTATAAGTAGGACACTGTCAGGTTTGATATTGTCAGGGGAAAACAAAAAGTTCACGAGGATCTATAAATTATTACGTGGAGAAAGCTGAAAGAATTAGTAACTGAAATATTTCAAAAAAGAGATGAGAGAAATGTGATTAATATCACAACTGTTCAAAATGGAAAAAGGATTAGAATTTTTCTTTTACAAGTCCAAGAGGGAGAATTGGACTCAACAAACACAAATTTTAAGCAAGAAGACATCACAGATAAAAGAACTTACTGGCAAAGTAAAGATGTTAAGTCTTTTCCATTCCTCAAAGTGTCCAAGAAGGGTAGATGATAATTTATGGAGGAAACTAAAGTAAGGATTTCTGCATTGTGGTTCTTTTGGACTGGATCAAGTTCTACGAAAGACAGATTGAGAACAGATAAGGAAGGATCCTAAGAGCCAGGTTACAGACAATGGGTTCTATCCTGTTGTTTTCGACAGGGCTAGGAGTGACTTTGCTGCCCCCCCCCCCCAAGGAACATTTGACAATTCTGAGACAGTTTGGTTATCACAATTTGGGGGGAGGGCTGCTATTGGCATCTAGTGGGCATTTCATGATATTTCTAAATATTCCCATGCACAGGACAGTCCCCCACAACAATTATTTAGCCCAAAATGTAAATAGTACAGGGGTGGAAAAACCCTATGGTAATATATTTGGGGGTGCAAATTGGGGGTTGGAGACTAACAGAAAGAACTTGCCTTTAAAAAGTTATATTTTAGGGGAGAACCCAGCATTGATGTGTAGTATAAGGAAAAGAATATACACTCTAGGGGCCCCTGAGCGGCTCAGTGGTTGGGCAGCAGCCCTTGGCTCAGGTCATGACCCCAGGGTCCTGGGATGGAGTCCTGCATCAGGCTCCCCGCAGGGAGCCTGCTTCTCCCACTGCCTGTGTCTCTGCCTCTCTTTGTGTCTCTCATGAATTAATAAAACCTTTATTTTTTTTATTTTTTTAAATTTTTATTTATTTATGATAGTCACAGAGAGAGAGAGAGAGAGAGGCAGAGACACAGGCAGAGGGAGAAGCAGGCTCCATGCACCGGGAGCCCGACGTGGGACTCGATCCCGGGTCTCCAGGATCGCGCCCTGGGCCAAAGGCAGGCGCCAAACCGCTGCGCCACCCAGGGATCCCCAAATAAAACCTTTAAAAAAATATATAGTCTCTAAATGTTCAGTTCTTTTCTTGCCTCACATTCTTATTATCTACCTCGTCTGAGGGAAGCCAGCATGTCCTTTAACACAAAACTCGTTTCATACCTCTTATATCCATCACTGTCCTTCCTATTTCCTGTGTTGGGTATAATTATTTAATGGCAGAATCTGAGTTTTCATTAAAGTTCCCTGATTATGGTTAAGAAGAAAGAGGCATATCAGCCCCAAAGAAACCCACAGATAATGTTGCTTCCACTCCAAGGGTGCAGGTCCGCATTGTAGTCTAACGTCCCACCCTAGGATACCTTACTCCAAATAAATACACACGTATCCCCTCAAAGCCTAGATTATTAATGGGGGGTGCCCTCCTCTGCATTTTTAAGGTCCCCACCCCTGGACTTCTTCCCCGCTGCCCTATTCTGTAGTCTAACCCCAGGGCCACTTTTAGCCACCCTTTACTCTCCAGGTCACATGCCCTTTCTGGCCCTTCTTTCTGAAAACCTCGAGGGTCAAGTCCGCAGTACTCTTGATCCCTGCCTTGGCACTGTCCCCATTACTGATGGGGACCTTTTGTGTAAGTCAGGAAACAGCCAGGGCCCACGGCTGGGTATCTCACTGGAAAGGCAAACCAGCTCGGACACCACACCACCTCCTTGCCTCCGGCCCAGGTCATTCCTTTCAAGGCCTCCCAGGGTCCTCAGGGCTCAGGTTTGTGGACGCCCCTCCCTAAATTACATAAAAGGTATCAAGTACCCCACATCCTACACGAACTATATGGTTCCTAATATACGGGTTACGTGGCACTTGAGAGGTTACAGTTTGGCAGGCTTACTCGTGTCGATTTGCAATTGCTTTTCCCTTTGGGGAGTGAAAACATTATTCAGGGCTCAAAAAAGTTGGTGGATTGGCACTGGTGTCTCTAGGGCCGCGGGGGAATTGGACACCCCCCGACCCTGTCCCCGCGCCGTCAGCCGGCTCACAGCCCCCTCCGCTAGCTCCCCGCCCCGCCGGCCGCATGCAGCCCCGCTCCCACCGCCCCCGCCCCCGCCCCCGCCCCCGCCGCCGCCGCCGCCGCCGCCGCCCCGCTCGCCTGCGCCTCCCGTTAGCTCCAGGCGCGCGGACGGTCCGGGCTCGGGATCTTCCTTCCGCTCCGCGCGCCCGGGCCCTAGCCCCGCCCCCAGCCCCGCCCCCAGCCCCGCCCCCTCCCCTCGGCCTCCCAGGAGCTCCCGGGGGCGCGCACCTCTCGACTCTCCCGCAGGCCCCGCCCCGCGCGGCCTGGCCCGGCCCGGCCTCGGCCCCGCCCCCGAGGCGCGCGCCCCTCCCGACTCTCAGGCCGCGCCCTGTGCTCTCCTTTACGGAGCGGGGTGAGCCGCGCGGCCCCACCCGAGGGTCTTTCCCCAGCAAGAGCCGGAGCCCGCACCGCCTACCCTCCTTGGGGCTTGCAGCACCCGGGGGACCCGCCTTCGCGCCAGCACGCACGCGCAGTGCCCACCTCTCCCGGATCCGAGCCCTCGGCCCTCGGGTCTCCAGCCCAGGGCCCGGCCCCGCCTCCGGCCCGGCCCCGCCTCCGGCCCGGCCCCGCCCCTCATGCCGGGTCCCGCGCACGCGCATCTGCCCAGCCCAGCCTTGCCCCCCCGCCCCCCCGCCCCTTGCCAGCCCCGCGGTCCCACGGCGCCAGGTCGACCCCAGCCCCCTCCCTCCTCCCGAGCTCTCTCGGTCCCACCCTCCGTAGCTTTGTGCCGGCGGCGCCGAGCCGCTTCCCCCATCAGCCGCGCCGCGGGAGGAGGGAGCCGCCACCGCGAAGCTGCCGCTCGCAGCCCCGGGCAGGGGCACAGGTAGGTGGCGGCCGCGGGCTGGGCCGCTCACGCAGCCCGGGGCTGCGAGTGGGGGCGGGGGCGGGGTGCGAGGGAGGGGCGGGGTGGGGGAGGGGTGGGCCGGGAGGGACGGGCTTGGGGTGTGGTTTGGGTGAGAGGTGAGGAGGAGGATGTAGGGTGTGGGAGATGGATTGAAGGGTGGGGGCGGGGTGCCGCGGAGGGTAATTGGGGGCAAGGTGGGAGCAGGGTTAGTTTGGGCGGGCTCGGGGAGGGGCATGCGTGGGAATTGAGGGAGGGAGGGAGAATCGCAGTACCGGCGAAGAGGAAAACCGAGGGGGATCTGAGAAGTGTAAGAAGGGAAGGATCCGGGCTTAGAATGGAAGGGGTGGGGTCTTGGGGGTGGAGAAGAAAAGTTGGGGCTGTGGGTTTTGAAGTTGGGCATAAGGAGGCGTGAAGGAAGGGGATTTTGAAGGTTATAGACAGAAGACAAGAGGAGAGAGAGAGATCGGAGTCCTAGGAGACTAGGAAGAAGGGAAGAAGAATACTTGGTGAAGGACAGAGGAAGAGTGCCTGGGGGTGGAATCAATGGGGATGGAACAGTGTGGGGCAGGAAGGAGAAGCAGGTGGAGGTGAGATTGGGTGTTTGGGACCAGGAACCTCGTTTCAGAAGTGCCTTGGAGGAGTGGAAGGGCCTGAGGTGTGAGAGGCCAGGACAGGGATGTTGAGAGTGGGAGAAGGGGGTGGGGGCTGTCTGGATTTGGGATTTTATGTGGAAAAGTCTAGAGTTGGCGGGTAGAAGAACTGTTAAGAGTGTCAGGATGTAGGAGAGATTGGCATGCTCCTGGAAGGAAGTAGGGAGCTAAGTCAGGTGTGGCTCTCTGGAGCTTTGGGGGAGGAAAGGGTGTGGGTGAAAAGGCAGGTAGGAAAGCGCACACGCTGTAAGGTAAAAATAATAAGAGGAGTGGAGAATTGAATAATGATGGTGGCACAGAACAATTAAGGTGAGATCGTTAGTTAGTTATAGGTGGTTTGGAACTAATTTCCGTTCAAGTTTTTGTGTAGAAATTTTCTCAAGAATGCTACATTTTCAAATAAACTAAGGGTGTCTGAAGCCTGGGATGAAGGCCATGGCTTGACAGATGTTTTCCTGGTGTGTGGATGTGGGTAATTTTTGCCCTGGCAGAGGGAAGAAGGGAGGCCTCAATGTAGCTCTGTCCTGGCTCTGTTCCCACCAACTCTTTCCTCAGATGTCCACTGGTTTTTATCTCCTCCCTGCCCCCACCCCTACCCCCAGCTTAAGCCAGTGAATACCAGAGGATCAAACAGGTGGGTGAGATTAATTTTTAACATCTTTTTTTAATTCCTAAGGCTGATGTCATATTTTTATTCTTGAGAGACAGCATCATGCAGTGGAAAGAGCTAGAGCTTTGGAGTAATACAGCCTTGAGATTGAATTCTGGCTCTGCCACTTACTAGCTCTGTTCCTTAAGTAAGTTACTTTACTTCTCTGAGCCTTTTTACCGGTTAAATGGCAATCTTGACCTCAAGGGATTGTTGAGCGTTACGTGAGATCACTTAATTGAGTGCTTAGCACAGTACCTGACAACTGGTATCTGCTTAATACCTGGTAGTTATCACACCCAGTATCATGATCATCGTCACCATTATTACTATGATTTACTCTTTGGGAATTGTTACTTTACCTACTAAAGTTAGGTGCTTTTTTTTCCCCCCCTTCAAATTAGAGAGCCATAGACCCAGCTCACAGTTTTAATCCTGTGACCTCTGTCTCTGATTCCTTCCCTCCAGTCCTCTTAATTGGTATGGTCCTGCTTCTTGCTTGGCAAACTGGCTTCAAGATCTAAAAAGTTGTCATGTTTAATTATCAATTATTTTATTTTGCCTCTTATTCAAAGAGGCGGTAGAGAACTGAGTTTGTAATGTAGTAAGTAAGGTTATGTTTTATTCATAAGATGAAATGATACGCTTTGTGGTAACTTTGGCTCCTTTGTGGTGACTGAATACTAACTAGAACATGCACTATGTAATATTTTTCTGTGCAGTTGTACGGTTTACAGAACTGCCTCTCTGGAGACAGGCTGGGAGACTGTCAGAATGCCCGGTACTCTGTTGATTCAATATAAAATATAGTTAATGCAAATCTAAGCTGGACTTTCTTGCAGATACTAATTTTACATTTTTATTTATTTTATTTTATTATTTATTTATGATAGTCACAGAGAGAGAGAGAGAGAGAGAGAGAGAGAGAGAGAGAGAGAGAGGCAGAGACATAGGCAGAGGGAGAAGCAGGCTCCATGCACTGGGAGCCTGATGTGGGATTCGATCCCGGGTCTCCAGGATCGCGCCCTGGGCCAAAGGCAGGCGCCAAACCGCTGCGCCACCCAGGGATCCCCAGATACTAATTTTAATCTTCCAGTTTGCATGGGATTTTTGCCATGGTGTAGAACAGGCCTTGTTGCTTGAGAGCCCATTTATAACCGACCACCATGTACAGCCAGGCATAAGCAAAGCTAAGTATGGAAGCTTTATGTGGAATTCTCTTGCCTTTATGGTTCTTAACCTTGAAAGGTTTAAACATTAAGTTTATTCTTAGTTCTTTTTATAGTACCTCACAAACTTTCCGGAAGCTTCTTATTGAGAGGATGCAAGATGCACAAATTTAATAGAAATCAAAGGTTACCAGGATTTCTTGAACCAAGGTTAGTTCCTCAAGTACCTTCATTGAAGAGCAGAGGAGCCTTGGGCCTTCTGGACAGATAATGTGCTTTTTTACTCTTCAGGAAATACTGGATTTTTTTTTTCATAATTTAGAAAGACAACTAGCATTTGAGTAATTTAGGAGTAAAAAATAGCCAGAACTGCGTTTTTTGAAAGCGATCCATGCAAAGAGAAGCTGCCAGGATTTGGGGCAGCCTGGGTTAGCGTCCATATTCTGGTCCCAAGACGCTTGTGCCCTCTGCTGGATGGAACCAGACCTTTCTGATTTTCACCTGAAGTGATCATTTATCCATTTGTCCATTTGACTCTAAAGTTTGTGGAACACACTGCTGGGAGTGGGGGTCAGGAGAAATACAGACCCTGTTTCGTTGTCAGGGAGCTTATAGTGTGCTGATACGTTATAATATGTTCTCTTCATAGAATTTGCCTTTCTATTATTACAGTCAAGTCAATCCTTTTTAGGGCCATTAGGGTGGCTAATTTCTGATCCACAGGTAGAATAGGGCTCTGAATGTCCAAATCCAGAGATAAAGACAGAGAATCTGCTTTATCTCCTCATCAAGATTAACATCTGTGAGGTTGAAGGGGCCAGATACTTACCTCTGCTGAAAGAACAGCTTAGAATAAGTGAGGCATCTCCTTAGCAGCAGTCACTGAATACTGGCAAGAGTATGGGTTATTAGAGCTGGCACTGTGACAGGAATTTTTTTGTCTGGGTTTTAGGGTTTTTTCCCTCCCCTGGTAGTACCAGTAGCAATATTCTCCCATCATTTGCTTTGCTTCTACCACCTGCAGAAGGGTCTGGCAAGTGGGGGAGGAGTCTGCAGCTGTTGCCTAGAAGAGGAGCTGGCTCCTAGCAACAGTATCAGCAGGCCCTGCAGTTCAGAGCACTGAGTCTGTCCCTTTGAGGTCTCACCCTTCTTCTTATTCAGTTCAGCATGTATTTGTTGAGGGCTTACTCAAGACTAGGCACTGTGTTGGGCCTGAGAAAAAGATGAAAAACATAAATGCCATGCCTTCAAAGATCACAGCTCTGGGAACGTTAGCAAGTGAACATAGGACATGGTGCTAAGTGCTATATATAGAAGAGACACTGGTGCTCTGGGAAAACCAGACAGGCATGCACTGGTGCAGGGGTTAGTGAAGATTTCCCAGGAGAGGGATCGTGGTTGAGCTGAGTTTTAATGATGAATAAGGATGAGCTAGGTCAGGAAAGCAGAAAAGGATGGTCCAACCAAAGGGAGCAGCAGAATGGGCAAAGACCAGTGGGACAAGAGAGCACAGCCAGCTTACTTGGGTAGTATGGCATGGTTGAAGAGTAGGGCATAAGAAGCCGAGCAGGAAAGGGTGAGGTTGTCAGGCTAGTCAGGGCCCTTCTTTCTGATGTGCTTTTACACACATAATTATCCTCAGGAGAAACGTGGATTGTACTGCTGTCCACAAACAGGATCACTATTTGATCTCCAGAGACTCAGCATTTTTGATCACTGACTTGATTGTTTGCTGACACTTTTACGTGGCATCAAAACTACATCCCAGCCCTGCATTGATGCAGAAGAAGCTGAGTTAGTTCACTCTGAAAGTCAGTCTTTTAAAGATAATGGCAGCTATTTGACATATATAGAATTTTAACTTTCAGTTCTCTTTAGATCATTGTGTTGTTGCGGAAATGATAATCAGCGGCTTTCATTTAACATAGCAATCTCAGTTTCTCAGGAAAACAAATGTTTATTCCAACTAATGCCTGAGCACAAAATGTCAACCATTGCATAAATGCCTACTGTGTTTGGTGTCTTGCCTCACCTCAAAAGTGTCCTAATAGAGCCCTAAGAGATAAGATGTTTCCAAGAGGTAGAATAACTTTTTTTCCCCCCAGCTCTTGTAATGGAGGTCTTTGTAGATCCAAAAAAGCCTATTGCTGGTGGTCTGTGTAAGGTTTGGAAAATTAGTAAACTTTAGTCTAACAAATATCCACCCAGGGACTGTTAAATCCCAGAGCACTATGTTATATCCCAGAGCATCCCAGAGTCTGGATGAATTAAACCTGGTCCC